TGGCTCAGGTCATGATCCCAGGGTCCTGGGATCGAGCCCTGCATCGGACTCTCTGATTGGCAGGAAGCCTGCTTCTCCCTCTCCCACTCCCCCTGCTTGTGTTCCCTCTCTCGCTGTCTCTCTCTCTCTGTCAATTAAATAAATAAAATCTTTAAAAAAAAATAAAAAGGAATAATTTCTATATAAAAAGGCAAGGTGGGCAGGGGAAGGCGATAAAAGCTAAGGAGATAGCATGGTCCAAACTACTGAGCATAAGAGAATAGGAAAGACTTCCAGGAACGTCAACTAAAACTGGAACTAAAATAATGTACTCTGAAAAGTGATATGATCATTTCTTCATCTGTTCCAGAGAAATGTGCCAAAGTGTGATTAGTGTAATACCCAAGAGAAAGTTACATGCCCCTGCATATGAGAATGCAAGAGGGAATTATTTCCAACAGTTTTTAAGCTCAGACACAAAAGCCACAAAATGGGCTTAAACTTTATTTTAATGATATAGGGATATCACATATAATCAGCCTGTAAAGTACAGAGGTGGTTCACAAAGAATAAACCTCCGTTGTTTGGAGAGGACGGATCAGACAGCTTTTTATGAAATTTTTTAAAAATCACAGAGAAATAGAGAGGTATAGGAGACAGAGAAAAGCAAAGTACATCGAGGACTGGCCAATCCAACTGTGAACTCACAAGGCACAGCCAACATATTCAAACAATCCACTGTTCTCTGATTACCTGTGCTACTTTTTAAAATATCCACAAACACAAAACCAGCCCAACTCATTCTCTCCCCATTAATTGGCCCTAACCCAAAAATACTGGGAATCAATGATCCAATAATTTATTTTCTATGTTGCTCTTATGTTAAAATTATTCTGGCTGAGTGTCCCTCCTCAGGGCTTCTGCTAAAGACTTATTTAATGGTAGCCCACAAAGGATCTGGATCATTAACAGTTGATCATCCAAGGAGAAGATGACATATGGTTCCTTGATTTGATTCTATTAGTTCCCTCTTGAATATATTCCATTCTTCTTCCCTCTGTGGAGAAACACTTCTTTCTCTGTTGTGGAAGAGGAGTCATTTTTGCAGTTGTAATCCCCTCTCCGTGAGACTTACAGTAAAACTCAAATACTAGGCTCACATTACTCAGCCATAAAAAGGAATGAGATCTTGCCATCAGTGACAACATGGATGGACCTAGAGGGTATTATATGCTAAGTGAAATCAGTCAGACAGAGAAAGACAAATAAATACCATATCATTTCACTTATATGTGGAATCTCAAAAACAAAACAGACTCTTAAATATAGAGAATAAAGTGGGGGTTGCCAGAAAGGAAGTGGGGGTGGGAGGATGGGCAAAAGAGGTGAAAGGGATAAAGAGGGACAACCTTCCAGTAATAAAATAAATACGTCATGGAGGTAAAAAGTACAGCAGAGGGAACAGAGTCTGCAATATCGTAATAGTGTTGTATGGGGACAGTGGTGAGCACTGTGTAACGTACCAAACTGTCGAATCACTGTTGTACACCCGAAACCAATATAACATTGTATGCCAAATATACTACAATAATAAAAATTTAAAAATCAACTCACAGTAACTATAGTGTCCTTTGCAGGAAAAGAACTATAATTTGACCATTTGAATATAGTCACTAACCTATGTGCGGTTCACTGACTTTCAGAGTTGAAAAGGACTCTGAAATTCTTATCCAGTACCAGAGTACACAAGAACTAAAGGAGAAGCCACATTAAGTCTAGGACGTATGATACCAGGAAGAAAATGAGAAGACCAAAATTACATTCTCAATACTATGATATTATACTAAACTCACTTGGTCCATAAATATTTGTGTGCCTATTATGAACTTGGCACTGTTTGGGGGTGCTTAGGATACATCACTAAACAAAAACAAAGATTCTAACTTTCACTCTGAAGAGGGGAAGAGGCGGCAGAATTTGGACAAGACAGACAATAAACAATAGGCATAATGAAGTAAATTATATAGTGCAAATTATATACTAAGCAGATGATAAGTGTTACAGAAAAAGAAAAGAAAAAGTAGACCAGGGCCAATAATTAAGGGGGGAGGGAGTTGGTTACTATATGAAATAGGGTGATTAGGGTAGGCCTCAATTAAAAGTGTAACGACTTGAAATGTGACAGGGAGCACACATGGGAGTTGCTTAATACCCTAACTAGCCTTTTTCCCTCCTGCTGACTTGGTTTCTCCATTTTTAGAACTGAAACAATGATTCTCTTCAAATAATGGTGTTATTTACATTGAGATAGTGATTATTATTTTAAGTAACATTTTAGTATCTTGAATAGTGCAGAGCACAATGGAAGGAGGGGCAAGGAGAATGGTATTGCATTATGAAAAAGACTTTCTCAGAAAAAAATAATCTCCAGGCACTATTTCCCTATATGGAAATAAAGTTAATACTTTCCAAACTCCACCTGGGACATAAAAACAATGAGCATAGAATCTTAAAAACTGTGTAAATACATACAGCATCATCTATTGTTTTGAATTCTTTTTAAATTTCTTTTTATATATTGTCTAAGCTGATGTCATCTGTTTTAGATCATGCGACCCCAAAAGGCAAGAACTAGTCTACTTAACTATCTTAAATGTATGCATGGTGCCATGTATAGGTCAATATGTAACAAAGAGTATTTGATCATAAGTAGAAGTATCTCCTACTTTTTTTTTAATCCAAACATCTCAAAGCATTTAACAAAAAGTGTCACACATTTTCAAAGCACCTTCAGGGATAGACAAGCAGTGCAGTGTGATGCAGTGAAACGTAGAGGCTTTAGAAATAACCTGTCTGGTTTTCCTAACCACATGTTAGCTGTGCAACTTTGGGTGAATCACTTAACATCTCCACACTTGAGCTATTTCACCTGGGAAAACTAGAATAATAATACCTATCCCCAAGGTTTTTGTATAATTGAGCTAATGGATGCAGAAGTACCTGGCACAGCGCCTAACTCATAAAAGGCATTGAATAAATGTTAGTTTTCTCTTTGCCAAATCTTCTCCCCACCCCCTGAATCCCCATCCTGAACCCCAACACACACACACACACACACACACACAACTTCATCAGTGAGTAAACAATGTCTTGCTTTAAATTACAAGCAGAGTGTAAAAGACAGCCAAGATCTCCTTACTCCATCCCACGAGCCCTGGCAGCCTCTCAGCTGTGGAATCCCTGGTTATTTCCTTTCTCAAGAAGGAGATACTATTCTGGTTTGACAGATCCTTTCCTGGACACACTCTCAGAATTCCCTAAGGTTCTTATCGTGGCTAATGGATAACAATGCAGAGACTATGGGAGTGAACAATCACTCTCTCTTAGCTAAAAACTTCCTTTATTGACTTCTCTGACTTCCCGTCAGTATTTCTCTGACAAATCAACCTCTTGTTCTGGGCAACTATTAAAAATAATTTTCTTGAAACTGAAAAAACACATTTAGCTTTCAACAATAAATCATGCTAACCTCAATCATTAGCCACTTAGACTACTAGCTTATTAGAATATCAGAATATGTGTAAAATTAAATTGTTTACATTTCTGTCTCCTTCTTTAACCCTTAGAATATGGCCAACAAATATGGGAGTGAAGAAAGATATCTCTTAGCTATTTCTTCTACAAGATAATGTGGATGACAGTAATACTCTGTCTATAAAATTTATTTAGTGTCTAGAATGATTACCTATTCATCGAAAGAGAAACTGAAAGCAATACAATTAATAGTTTGTTCTTGTGGCCTACAGTTAAATGGTATAAAGTTTTTTATTATGTGGCAGCGTCTTGTATCACTCTTTTCCAAGCACACAGCACATTGCCCAGAAAACAAGTGGCAGTCAATAAATTTTTACTGAATGAAATGAATTAATTACCATTTGGTTTTATACCAAGGACCAACATATGACCTTTAATCCCCTAAAGATAAAACACAAAATCCCATTATATGTGAACCACATCCACAACACCAGAATCTAAGATTCCCATTTTGAAAGAATAGCTAGAACAACTTCTTTTTGAGGCAATTCTGCTTACTTAGCACTTTATTCCCCCCTACAGTTTTCCTTCTTTTGTTTTTGTACTAAGGATATTTGTATAAAAACAGAATCTTTGTTGCTTAGTAATTCATCTGCTCCAGCTGCTTGTGTTCTGTTCCCAATCAAAATTCTCGGTGTTCAGCGTCCTCATCATTTTTACAAGGGGTTAGCGAATTGGCCAGGCTTGCTCCTTTCTCCATCTCTACGGAACCCTGGGCCCCAAGCTCCCATACATTGCTCTTTTCTTGGCTTCTCTCTTGTAGTTATGTCTGGTTGTACATACCTTTTCTATCAGCACACATCAGAAAGTGCCCATTGAGTAACACAGCACTACCCCAATTCCAAAATTCTCTAGCTTCAAGTCAGAGCAAGGTTACCCAAAGTCACAGAGGGTACACGGAGAGGGCCAGGAGCCCAGAATATTACAAAAGGTAATATTCTGTAAGGACAGGCGGGTGCATTTAGGTAGGTAGGAAAGTAATCCAGTATTCCTTCAGAGGTGAAAGCACGTAGGAAAGTTGACCACCTACTTTTATTGTCAATTCAGTTTAAAGCACTTTACTAATCACACATCTTTCGACATCTAATTCTCATTGTCTTCCCTTCCATTCCATAGACCTATCTGTCTCTTTCTCAGAGCTGTTTCTCTTATTTCTTGCTGTTCCTCCAAAAAGGACAATAAACAATTTCCTAGCCACTCATCATCATAAACTCTGACATGTTAAATTACCCCCTACTCAGTTTATGGACCCTATTAGTCCATAAAACTCTTCCCTCACCGGCAACCCACCCCACACAAAATTCTTATTTCCCCTTTTCCCTGCTGGGAAGTATGTTTCCTAAAGGAGCAACGGAGCCAAACCCACCACCTTCCTTCTGTGCCGAAGGTGCATCCCCCAACCTCAGGACACTAGGGGCTCTCCTTACCTGGAAGGCAGTTGCATTCAAACGCGAAGTCACCCGTCTGCCGGCAGGTGCCACCATTGACACAGGGGGAGGGTGCACAGGGCACGTAGGGGCTGTCACAGTGCTGGCCTGTGAAGCCCTGGGGGCACTGGCACTGATAGGAACCCGGTAGGTTGAGGCAGGTGCCACCACGCTGGCACCGTCCTGGAAGGTCGCACTCATTGACATCAGTCTCACACTTCTGTCCTGTGAAGCCTGCGAGGCATCTGCAGGAGAACTGGTTGGCCACGGTGGTACAGGTACTTCCGTTGGCACAGGGATGAGACAGGCAAGCATCCCTCCACTGGCACAGCTTACCTAAGGAAGGAGAACAGAGCTCAGTGCTGCCCACTGAAGTGGGAGCCAGCCCCATCGTCAACATCGCCCGTCTCCCACCCACCCAACATCAGTTACTGTGTGGAGAATCCCTAAGCTCTCTGAACTTCACAGGAAGCCCAAACCAGAGCCTCCTCAAGATCACCTGATACAGGCCCCCCCTGGGGCCCTCAGCCAAATACAAAGACTCAGGGGGGCACACGGAGGGGACTGTAGGCTAGTCGCATGAAGCCCCTCCTTGCAGGATGCCATCCTACCTCCCGACTCACACCTTGTCTCTGCATAAGCTGCGCCTCTGTTTGGAATGCCATCTTCCTTTTTGTTTACCTAGTGAACTCCCACTTGGTAACTCTACTCAGAAATTTCCCTATTGCCCTTCTCAGCTCCCTAAATCACTCTCTCTCACACACACATCTGTACATGTACACACACACTCCAAATTTGCTGTTCCCATTTACTGTATCACACACCACACGGGCAGGGGTTGGATCTCGGTAGCAGGCTCTCAAAGCATGTCTTCTGAGTGAATAAAATGCATTGATCTTTTCCACAATATATAGTTACTAAACAGATCTCTTATATGATAGAAACAAGTCAATGCTGGGGTGCCTGGGTGGCTCAGTCGTTAAGCGTCTGCCTTCGGCTCAGGTCATGATCCCAGGGTCCTGGGATCGAGCCCCGCATCGGGCTCCCTGCTCGGTGGGAAGCCTGCTTCTCCCTCTCCCACTCCCCCTGCTTGTGTTCCCTCTCTCGCTGTGTCTCTCTCTGTCAAATAAATAAATAAAACCTTTAAAAAAAAAAAAAGAAACAAGTCAATGCTACTTCTATTTCCTTTAAACACAACCCACACACATAACCTGGGAAACATTTTATTAATTGTGGTCTTGCTATAAATATTGCTTGATGTGTTTGAAGAGGATGAAGAATCTCTGGCTATTTATCTATGAAAAAAAACTAGAAGCTGTCACGAGAATAAAGGTCTAGAAAGGTAAGTCTTATGGACTCTCAGGTAGGAAAATATAAGAGGAAGCCAGGAGACTCCGACGTGCTAGATCCTATAGCATGTCTTTGAGACAGAAGGACAGAGAAAAAAAAAAATTCCCATGCTATTAGTAAATCTGGTATTCATATGGATTTTTGTTTTCATCAGCTTAAGCTTTTTGTTTTTAGCTAAAGATTATGAGAACCCCCTGAACTTATTAGTATTCCAATCGGTGGTCTAGGTAAACATCCAAATATTTGACCCCCATAGAAAAACAAATGAAAGCCATGACAGCTTTTCTAAAAAGAAGCAGGAGATGACACATGAGCACACAGAAGTGCTCTCTATCAAGGAATGTCACATCAAAGGGGAAAGGTACAATAAAAATTTGGGCACAGCAGGGGCGCCTGGGTGGCTCAGTCGGTTAAGCATCTGCCTTCAGCTCAGGTCTTGATTCTGGGGTCCTGGGATTGAGCCCCGTGTCCAGCTCCCTGCTCAGTGGGGGGTCTGCTTCTCCCTCTGCCCCTCCCCCCACTTGTGCACTCTCTCTCTCTCAAGTAAATAAAATCTTAAAAAAAAAAAAAAAAACGGGCACAGCACATGTGTCTCAGGATACTAAGCAGAGAGAAAAAGAAGGAACTAAAATTCTTCTTCCTTTTTGGGACGCCTGGGTGGCTCAGTTGATTGAGCGACTGCCTTCGGCTCAGGTCATGATCCTGGAGTTCCGGGATCGAGTCCCGCATCGGGCTCCCTGCTTGGCGGGGAGTCTGCTTCTCCCTCTGACCCTCCCCCCTCTCATGCTCTCTCTCTATCTCATTCTCTCTCAAATAAAAAAAAAAAAATGTTTAAAAAAATAAATAAATAAAATAAAATTCTTCTTCCTTTTTTTTTCTTCATTCCTCTGAGAGGAACTTACCTACACTGGAGAAGAGACAAAAATGGTTCCTTCTGGCTACCGTGTGTGTAGAGTATTTGCCTACAACTGAAACAGAAAGGTCCCTGAACCTATGCTATCTACATGCACTAACTCCCCACCTCTGTTTCTTCAACTATGAGTGGAGATAAGCTAAGAAGATCTGACTAGATGGAGTATAAGGGCTACCACAAAACCAAAAGGGTAAACTTAAATATTGTAATCCCTAAAGACAGACAAAAATGGCAGATGTGTGAAAATAATCAGAGCCCTGCAGAACACCAAGAAGAGTTCCTTTTAATGGCAAAGGAAGAAGTTTTAATATGGGGATCATTTCAGAGTAACATTTTAATTATTAAGAAGACATTACTGCCATTTCCACTAGTCAAGTTTAAAATGTTTTAAATGGCTATGCCTTCCCTTTGTTGGTGGGGCAAAACAATTCAAAAATGACAATCAGGGAAAAAAATATTCTTTTAACCACCAAATCTCTTCAAAGAATCACAGCAACAATTCTGTCATGGTCATGATGAAGATAATGGACCATTCTAACTATCCTCTACCCCTACCAACACCTTTTAATGAAAAGTCAGTAAAACAAGTATTCCAAACTAACTGATCCAGTCTAGTTTACTGAGTATGTTTTTAGTTTTTGTTTATCAAATTTATAGAATTGCTGGTGTAGCAAGAGACAAAATAGTGAATGGTTCTGCTTTCCTCATCTAACTTAATAAACATCTGTGGTTCATTTTGAATAAAACTCAAGCCCACCTCTGAAGAACTCATAATCTAGTCAGATAAGAGACATATTAAAAAAATTATTACAATAAAATGTGACACATAGGATAACAGAACAGAGAGACTAACTGCCTAAAGGAATCACAAAAAAGTCACTAAGACAGAATTTTAAGTAACATTGGGCAATCACCAATTATAGAAAAGGGCATTCCAGGCAAAGGGGTGTGCAACAGCATGGAGGCAACAGGAAGTATGACATTTTCGGAAATGATGAGAATGTTGTTGGTGCGACTAGAGCTAGATGCTTGTGGGAAGTGAAGCTATAAAAAGACGTAAGGCTGAGACCATGATGGGCTATGGAAGCCATGTAAAAGAGTTTGCAGTTGACTCTGTGGATGATAAAAAGTCATTAGGCATTGTAAGCAGGTGAGTTTGTGAGAGGATTGGCATTTATGATCAAAGATGTGGCAATGGGACAGGTGAACAAGACGGGGAGAAAGTAAAGGCAAGGAAACCAGTTAGGAAGCCAACTGCAGGAGCCCAGGTATGGGCTGAGCTGTCACCAACATGGACAAGGCTAGACCTCAACTGCAGAGCAGGAAAGGAAATGGAGAACAGTAGACAGGTGAGAGGTGCTTTGTGGCTAGGTTAGGGGCCTGAGTCTAAGTGGGGTAAGGGAGAAGGGGGGTCTAGTTTGAAATAGGTGGACTATACATCACCACCACCCATTTATATCAACATGTTGAGTGTGAGGTACTTGTCGAGTTTCCAAGGATAATATGCATCAGACAGTTAGAAATACGAGCCTGAATGTCGGGGTAGGGGTGGAGTGAAAAGGGTGACTATAAGCGTCACCAGCAACTAAGGAAGATAATGACAGCTGAAGCCACTGGAGATAGTGAGCTGGGGGAGCTGTGATATGGCTCAAAAGAGGGCTCAAAACAGAGTTCCAAGGAACACAAAAATTTAACAGATGAGGACAAGGCAATGAAGAAGCAAAAGGAATAGTCAGAATACAGAAAACCAGAAAAACCAGTGCCCTGAATGTCAAGAAGTAAGCAATCAATAGCACAGACAGGTTTTCTTCTAGTGACGGTGAAGTAAAGTTCCGATCCCCAATCTTGACATATATACTTTAGGCAGTCAAATACTTCTGCCTTTCTCTTTCTCTTTCTCCCCTCTTAGAACTCTCAAAAGGGAGTTAAAGATAGTTGTCTGGAACACTCTAGTTCCTTATCATAATGTTAAATGTACACCAGAGTTAGAGGATCCTTAAGAGCAACATGTCAAGATCTAAGAGATGCTAAAGAAAGGTATCTGCTGAGAATAGGAAAATAGGGCCCTGAGTCACATTTGTTACCTGTAAAACCAACTTGGCAGGTGCACTCATAGTCATCCCGGCTACGCACGTGGCAGGTGCCTCCATTCAGGCAGGGGTGAGAAACAAAGCAGGGGTGAGTGGTCGAGTACTGGCAATCATCGCCTGTGAACCCCAGGGCACATCGGCATGTGGCTTTCCCCAGCATGGCCTGGGCCACACACGTCCCACCATTCTGGCAGCGGTTCTTCTCACAGGGGTCTCGATGTTGACAATATTCTCCCAAGAAACCCTCCGGACACCTGTATGGAAAAGAGAGGAGTCCATGAAAACACTTGACTTCTTGTAAGTCCGAAAACTTTACAAGATAATGCAGTGCATTCAAGAAAACACTAGACTAGGGAGCCTGCTTCTCCCTCTGACCCTCTCCCCTCTCATGCTGTTTCCCTCTCACTCGCTCTCTAAAAAATAAATAAAAATCTTTAAAAAAAAAAAAAAGAAAAGAAAACACTAGACTATGAATTGAGAGACCTAAAGGTACAACCTGTAAAACTGCCTTAGTTCAGAAGTGCTTAGAGAACTTAACCACACACTCTCATGTCCTTTGAGTCTTAGTAGGTGACAGAATACCAGGTGGGTGACCCAGCATGGTCTGCCATGGCCAGTCAGCACAATCCTTATCAAAGGCAAAATGCAACCACAGCTTTTCTCATGTAAGTACAGGCGGGTATGGTGAAACAGCACTTTTTTGTGCAGCATTGTTGATACTTGTCTGTTTAAATTCATTACCTTTCTCATTTTGACTAAGCCATTTGATAGGATTAAGACATTCACATGATAATGCATGGACTGACCCTCTTATCCTCTCCAATTTAGAATATATAAAATATCATGTGCTTTCTCTCAATTAGGCACTGAGAAATAATAAGTTCTTTTCTTGTTTCTATTGAGACATCAACTGGCCTATATCTAGATTTCTGGGTTATGTTCAGGGGTTACATTTCTCTGTGATGGAGAAAGAAAAAGGAGGTACAGGAAAGGGGAAGGGTTCAAAGGGGCTTTTTTAAAAACTTAAATCTGTTAAGATATAAATAGCAGGCAGCTTTTTTAACCAAATAAAAAGCACAAAATATAATGAAAATGACATAAAAATATCTAAGGTACCACACAAATGCCAAAGTGAGTAAGACAAAACAATTCAAGAATAACATTCTGTAACATTCTCCACGTGGCGTGTTGAGGAATCTTTTTATGCGCAACCCATTGATTCATAAGATATGCAACCATCCCAAATTGTGTGTAGTATTTATGACAATCCTACATTCTCTAAACAGCATTTAAAAAAAAAGGCATGGATAGTCTCCATTTTCGTAATATAGGGGTTATTTAAATGAGACCTCTAAGAAGCATTCAAAAGTAACACAAAGACTTTGATTCTAACTATAAATTTTACCATTTGGCTGTCACCTCAGACATTTGGTTAAACCTGTTTCTCCATTTTGCTTTTTGGAGGATAGCAAACTAAGTCTACAAGGCTGCTCCATCATTACTTCAAAGATGACACACTTAAACCAATAAAACTCCCCCCTCACAACCAGCTCCAATCACAGCTCCCTATGTGCAGATTCTATGTCCTGATTCTCCCTGTCGCCCAGACTTGAAGCACGGGTATTGTGTATTCCTCCTTCCTGTCTTTGTCCAATCACACCCAAGATGTTTCATTGGGCATTGGTTGGCAAGGTGAGGTCTTCAGAGGTCCCAGCTATTGAGAAAAGCAGGAGGACCAGCTATTAAGGAACTAAGGCAGAACATGCCCAAAAGAATTGTGCAGTAGTTAACGTGGCTGGAGGACGAAACAGAGCTGGTAGGTGGCTCCCCTCTTCCTAGATCTGAAGACAGGAAGCACGGCAGAGCCAGGAGCAGCTAGAGCTCTGAGCATCTTCATGAACAGGTGAAGCTAGAGATGGAGAGGCAGTGAGGAGAGGGCAGAACACTAAAACCAAAGACTGGCTGCAGTTTCTGGGAGGAGTGTCTGCACCTCATACAGTCAGAGGCCTGTTTGGAGTGAGTCCTGGTGCTGTGAACTTAGACGTGTTCTTAACTTCACTGTTAGTTCTTGCACATTTTAAATAGTTAATAAAGCTACCTACATTGTTGTAAGAACTGAACAAAATCAAGTATGTGAAGAGCCTTATGTTAAAAAGTTTTGCAAATGAAACATTTTTTTCTCTCTTTGCACGTATTGAGGAAAATATGATGCTTTATTCAGATCACAGCTTGATTTGATAATAGGTTATTTTCTGATTTTTTTAAAGTAGAAGAACAAAAACTGCCAATGTAGCATAGCTAAAATTATCCCTGAGCTATATTATTAAAAGCATTTGTAACTTATTTAAGAAGTCTGTTATGGATGATGTTAAAAACTGCAACACAATTCTCATTCACAGTGGCAGTCCTATGGGCATTAAGCCTGGCTGACAACTCTTGATTCACCCATACGGAAATTATTCACCTTATAAATAATGGCAAATTTTAAACCTGGGTGGGCTTTTCCCAGCTTTGCTCCTGGATTATTACACCACCACCACCACCTCCCCAACACTATCATGTGGCATCTGCTCAGAGAATGCAAATTCATTTAAATATTAGTATCATAAACATGTAAAGAAAACATAAGGTTCCCAGGAAAACAAAAATGAAACAATATGAAAATTTCTGGAGCCAAAGAAGAATATTCCTGAATTATGTGTCACTAGGGTTTAATTTGCATTGTTGCTCCCTACCAAGTACATGAAAATAAGTTTCAACTAAGGTATGTTTAAGAAACCAATAAAAGCAGAGGTGGGCAAATACAGCTTGTAGACCTACTATGGCCCACTGCCTATTTTTGAATGGCCCATGAGCTAAGAATAGATTTTCCATTTTTTTTTAAAGATTTTATTTACTTATTCATAAGAGACAGAGAGAGGCAGAGGGAGAAGCAGGCTCCCTACTAAGCAGGGAGCCCGATGCAGGACTCGATCCCAGGACCCTGGGATCATGACCTGAGCCAAAGGCAGACGTTTAACCGACTGAGCCACCCAGGCGCCCAGTTTTTCCATTTTTGAGTGATTAGAAAAATGTCAAAAAAAAAAAAAAGATAATATTTTGTGACATTTGAAAATTATGTAAAATTCAAGTATCAGTGTCCATAAAAAGTCATATTGGAACACAGCCACACTCATTCATTTATGGATTGTCTATGGCTACTTATGCATTACAATAACTGGGTTAAGTAGTTGTGATGAGACCATTTAGCCTGCAAAAATATTTGCTAGCTGGTGCTTTATAGAAAAAGTTTGCTGGGTGCCTGGGTGGCTCAGTCTTTTAAGCATCTGCCTTTGGCTCAGGTCACGATCCCAGAGTCCTGGGATCAAGTCCCACATTGGGCTCCCTGCTCGGCAGGGAGTCTGCTTCTCCCTCTCCCCCTCCCCCCGCTTGTGCGCTCTCTCTCTCTCTCAAATAAATAAAGAAAAGGAATAAATAAAAGAAAAAGAAAAAGTTTGAGTAAGAAAATATATGAAACCCAATTCTATATATAGCATCCAACATGCTTATTAATAATGACGTTAATGATGATGAAGAAGAATGTTCTCACATCAGTTTCTGCAAAGAATATTGCACTCATTCATTCATGCAACAAACATTTAGTAAGTTGCCTATTATGTGCCAGATATTGTTCTAGTGCTAGGAAAGTCCTTGAACTTGTGGAGTTTAAATTCTAGTAAGGGAAGATAAAAAACAAGATTAGTAAGTAAAATATATAATCTGTTTGGTAGAGTTAAGTGCTATGAAAAAAAAATAATAAGACAGGAAAGGGGGGATGGGAAGTGATGGAATTGGGAATAGTAGGGTATAGATAAAATGAAATATTTTGGTTTTAAATAGGAAAATCAGAGAAGGCCTCACTGAGAAGGCACATTTCAGTCAACACCTAAATGAGGTGAGGAACTAGCCATGCAGGTATCGAGGGGAAGTGTATTCAAAGCAAAGGGAACAGCAAATACAATGGACCTAAAATAGGAAACAGTCCTGGCTTGTTTGAGGAATAGCAAGGAGACCTCTGTGGCTCTCTCAAAGGGATTAAAAAAAGAGTAGCAGATAAATGGATGAGTGCTATACTGTTAGGCAGATCATGAGGGTTCTGTAGACCACCATGAAGAAAGCTTGAGGTTTTTACTCTAGGTGAGATAATATAATGTACACCTGACTTAGTCTCCTAAAGTCCATACATAGAACTATATCTTATTTTTATGTGAAACTAGACCTACTGTTAATATAATATTTAATTTCTTATTTAAAATGTTCTAGAGGGCTAGACATCAATCAGCCTATTTCTTTACCTTAAAACATGTACAGATCTCTTTAACCTAACAAATCTCTTTTAAATTAACAAATCTCTTTTAAAATGTCTTAGTGAACATTTTTCCCTAAGCCCTATTTCCCTTTCCAAACTCTTCTTCTATCACAACCAAACTTCTGTAACTGCGGCCTAATTTCACAGATAGTTTCCCTTTCTCTTCCATCTAGTTCTTACTTGTCCCTTTGCAACAAAACTTTCATTCTAATTATCGCCCAGAAATTATGCTCTAAGAGCAATGACTTTCCCCTCGTCAAGGTCAGTCTGAAATTTCATCATAAAGAAATTCTCTTTCCTGGAGCGCCTGGGTGGCTCAGTCGGTTAAGCATCCGCCCACTCTTGACTTCAGGTCAGGTCATGATCTCAGGACTGTGAGATAGAGCCCCGCATTGGGCTCCACGCTGGGCGTGAAGGCTGCTTGAGATTCTCTCTCTCTCCTGCCTCTACCCCTCTCCACCCCTCCTTCTCTAAATAAATTAATTAATGAAGAATAAACCTAAAAATATTTATTTAAAGAAATTCTCTTTCCTGTAAGAGGTGTCTCTGACCACGCCTTCTATCATTTTAATCTTTTTACATTTGGTTTCTAGGATGCCCTCTATCTCAAAGCTTGGTAAATTCTTAGTCTAGATTGCTGATTCCTTTTCTTCTTCCCCATCAACTATGGGGGAACTTTAAGTTTGGGATGCACTGCTCTTTCCTTTCATATGCATTTGTTACTGCTGTTGTTGTTCATTTGGTTTTAAACAACTACCTTCATGTACCCACATAAACAGCTCCAGTTCCATATGTTCAGTTTACGAAAAGTCATCCACTTATCCTAAAATACTCTGCAGTACTTGAAACTGAACATTCGAAAAGTGGGATCATTTTCCTACAAAACTTTAATTCTTCCATTTTTCT